CCCCAAAACCCCAAAACCCCAAAACCCCTTGTTTCTTTGATTTAAATTAGGATCTGTTAATAAATTTTGAATTCAAATTAAATGGAAAAATTTCACAAATTGTCTTAAGAGGACCAAGAGAATAGATTTTACAAAATGCAAACAGATCCTAGTGATCAAAGCTTATTTGAGTAACAGATTTATAGCCGAATAACAATTTTTAGTCCAGATAAATTGCAATTCAAGACTTGGACAAAATCAAGTCAGAACGATTTCCAAGTTAGAGACCATTAAAGAAATTCAATTGAGAGAAAAAAGCATCAGTTTACCGATCAATTATTCCATCCTCATATGGATTTATCAACTTAGATCGAGAGTAAGAATCCCATTTCAATTAATATGACTTCAAGGTATGTTTCATTAAAGTTCTTGCATTGCTAATTAAGAAAAAGTTAATGCTCTCCTTAATTCTATAATTATTGAGGAAAACAGAAATCGCTATCCATCTCAAAGAAAAGTGTTTCCTAAAACTACTAATAATACTAATACCAATACTACAACATTAACTGCTAATAAAAATTTGTATAATACTAATGTAATCTTGCCCAAGGAAAAGATTAAGAGTGGATCAAGATAAAAATCGAACAACGGAAAGAATAAAGAAAATAAGTTTAAGAACTCCAACAAAGGTCTTAATAAGATTTAAACTGAAGTATAATTGAATAATATCAAGGCATTAACTAAAAATAATAGAAATCATCAGAATAACAAGACTCAGAATATTATATTCAATCCTCACATACCTCTGACTTAAGAAACTTTTTCTCCTAAAAGATAAAATGACTCTAAAAATCAAACTCTGAATAGGATTATGTCAAATAATGGCTTGATAAAATCTAAGGCTTAGTTATTAGAAAGTAGACCGCTAAGTCCAATTTCAAATCCAACTTCTGATGGAAATTAATGGTTGATAAGTGAGAAATCTTGTATGTTTTAAGATCAAGCATTACATTAAAGATCACAATATTTTTCCCCAAACCAAGAAAAGTAGAAGTACTCCACAAATGATAATTAAAGAATGCCTTAAAGTCATATAAATGTAAGGGAACTTGACAGAACTAACTCAAGAGATATTGAGTTAAGAAAAAAACCATAATGCTAAAATCATTCTTAAGCCCCTTAAACTGTGAAAAATTATAATGCTATCCAACAAATGAGACAAATTCAATAGTCTCAATAATAGCATTTTTAATAATTACCTTCAAATCTCTAATCTTGTAACTAGCAAAGTGATTAATGTGAAAGATGTCTCAAATTGGAAAATAAAATAGTTAGAATAGCTGTTTAGCTTGACTAATTGCAGTTAAGTAATACAAATGACTCTCTTGAAATGTTAGAGCTAATTTCAAATACAATAATAGAATTTAAACTTTAAAAGCACTAGCATGAGCAAGATAAGATCAAACTTTAATAAGATGTTGAAAAACTGATTCAAAATTAAGAATCGTTTGAGCTCAGAGTAAAGGAAATGGACGATGTATTTGGATTATTAATGAAGGAAAAAGAAAGACTTAAATTAAAGAAGCAAGAGATAGATCAATTGCTAAGCTAGAGATAAGATACTCTGACAGCTTATAAAAAGGAATTGCAAGAATTAAGAGATAATTCCAAAGAGCTAAAAGTTGAAATAAGAAGAGTTGTAGAGAAGGAGGTAAAGGAAACTATTTACAGGAAATATAGGGACAGAGATTATATCTTCGATTATCCATGCCAAATAAATGCTGATAGTAATAATCGATCGAAATAAGATAAAGGAGAGTAATTACCTTCGGCAGAGATAAAGAAAAGGGAGAGTGAATTAGATAAAAAGGAAAGCAAACTGTATGAATGGGAGGCTTAATTATTTGAGAGAAAATTAAAGATTGATAATCAAGATGAACAGCTTAAAGGTAAAATGGAAAAGATGACTGCTCAGAAGTCAGAAATTCAACAAAATCTTAAGAAACTTCAAATCCTAACAAAAGACTATGAGGCTATACTTTAAAAAGAATATGAGATGACAAAACTAGCCGAAGAGATTAGAACTTCAAAGCAATTGGTTGAAACTTAAAAATAAGAACTTGAACGTACTCATAGACAAATCATGACCTAAAGAGAATATCTTTAACGTGAAAAACTAGATGGGGACAAAGTTGATAAATATATACAAAGAGTTAAGGATTAGACATAGATGATAGTAGAGGACAATATGAGTTATCTTGAAAGAGAAAGAAATAAATGTTTGACTAGGATGAAAGAAGCAGATGAATTGAAAAATATACTCACTACAGAAAAGAATAGATGGTCTCAAGGTGTCAATGATTAATAAAAGAAGCTATAAACTTTGGTAGACGAGAAAAGAGAATAGGTCTTAGTCATGGAAGTTAGCATGAGATAGCAAATCAAAGAAATTAGAGAGAGGCAAGAATAACAAGAAAAGAGAGAGAAGGAACTAGAAGATAAGTTTAGATAGTAATAAAGAGAAATTGACTAGGAGAAATAAGAACTGCAAAGAGAAAAAGAGGATGTGAAATGTCTGATTCTTGAACTAGAAGAAAAGACAAGCATAAGATCTGGGAATAAAAACAATAAAAAGAAGTATAAAAAGACTAACATGCCCAGATAAATGCCTAATCAATAAGAAATCGATCACAAAGAGAACACCAATACTTTCGAATATATGCTGAACCCTTAGTAAAACACTAAAAGTTATTAGAATGCAAATAGTAGCAATAATAATTTTATTGATGAGAGCAAATCCCACACTTATCAGGGCCAATATTAGCCTTAGTTATCTCAATAACCTTCTTAGACAATGAAAAAGTCAGCTAATATGCAAAATTTCAACTTAGACGATGATGAGCTTATGCTTTTGGATGTACCTTAGTACTCATAAACCTAATAGAGTAAAACCCCTCAAATAAATAGAAAGAATAGTGGAATGCCACCGAAGCCTCCCAGTTCTACGCTCTCACAATCAACTAATAAGCTATTTAGAAAAGATAGTAAGAGTCAATTGAGTAATGGAAAGTCAAGTTAGAATGACTTGAGTATTGATTAGGATTAATAGTTAGAACAGTTACTGATGATGAGTCAGACTAATACAGAAGTCATTAAGGAGACTAAAGACTTCTTTGGAAAAGATACAAATTTATTTTAATTCGATCAGTATTTGGCTTCAAGCTAGAATGATATGAGCCTACTCAACGATGATGACGATATTAATTTCAATTGAAAAGTTAATTTCTTTAATGTTGCCCTTAAATACTCTCCAATGGGGTTTTGGGGTTTTGGGGTTTTGGGG